ATGAACCAGCCCCTGATCTCCTGTCAACCCTGGCTGTTGATTAATGGTTGTCTCTCTGAGTTTGGGTACATGGGGTGGTAGGTGCAGGATAACATTAGGCCTTGGTATGTTCATTTTCTGTGGAGAGCATCATAAATCCTCGTACGCTCAGCAAGACTATAGGTGACAGTCTATGTCTCTTGAATGATTAGGTGAGATAAGGCACCATTATGGGAGATTCACTTGCTGCAAATATACATAGCTGATCTTGCAGAAGTCACGAGAAACATGAAGAAAATGGACTTTTCACAAGGAAGATTAAGTTAGAGTGTTGTAGCTGTGTTGGTCTAGGAAATATATGAGACACAAGGATTTTTGGGGGGGAGATATCTTTTATTGGACCAACTGTATAATTGTGAGAGAGATTAAACAGCCTTTTGGGCACGTAGGTCTAGAAAACAAGCAGACAGCTTGACCTAAATAATAGATGGAACAATGGCTTGTGTGTAATTCCATGTAAATGAAAAAGTCACTTAAGGGAATGGAAGAGAGCTGTAAAGTAGAAGCAAAGAGCAAAACAAGAGAAGTGCAGTAGACTAGATAACCTAATTATGGGGTTGTTATTACCTGTGGAGTACTAAGAAACTGGCAAGCTATCACCTGTGTTTAGTCCATGGCTTTTAGTGTCCACTAAGGTTTTGATGTTTGTTCAGGCCTGTCTTGGGAAGATACTGTACATTTGTTTTGATCACAAGAACTGAGAGGTCAGAGGTGGAGTAGTTGTTCTGTGAAAAGTGCTTTCCCACTTGTGTTTGGGAGTTTCTGTCCTTTATTATCTTTCTATGACGGTTCATTCTGGTGTGTAGTTTTTCTTTAGTTTTACCCACGTTGTTTTTATGAGGGCATTTGGAGATATATTTGAGATATATCACATTTTGAGATAGACATGCATAGGCAGTAGCTTAATCCAGGGTGAATGAGAGGGGCACCTGCTCCAGGTGCCAAGTTAGGAGGGCACCAGAATTGCTCCCCACCCCTTCAGAGTCTGTTCCTTGGCAGCATACTCATGCAAGGAACTCCAAAACAGTCCCTGGCTGTTGCTGCTGCCACTTTGAGAGCAACAGCTAGTGCAGGCAAGGTACCTTGTGGTAGTGGCAGCAGCAGCAGCTCAGCCAGGGAGACTCTTTAGGAGATCCCACCATAAGTAAGACTGCTGTGCACTTGCCCCTGCCCCCACCCCTGTCCCTCCAGTCTTGGAAGCCATGTGCCATACCCCCTGCTCTTGGGATATATGCACACCACCCCCACCCTGCTCTGTTTGTGAAACCATGTGCCCTCCTTCCTCCCACAGGGCTTGTTCCGCCACGTGGTGTAGGATCCATGGATTCTGACTGATTGTGGTGGTAGTGGAGATGTGTTGACAGGTTTTGCATTTATTGTTAAGGCAGGTGGACACTGTTGCAGTGCTTTCCAGAGTACTAATGCAGCTCCTAGGGCACGGGATATCCAAGCAACCAAGTTAAAACCATAGGACACCTATGTATGTGCCTGACGCCTCAGTCTGCTGGAGTGTGCTAATTAGCATGCTCTAATAGCCTCGGCATCATATGTATTCAATGTCCCCACACTTCAAAATGGTGGTGGGGGCACTTTAACTAAGGCTTGTCAAACTCTGAATACACAAAACACTGTGGGTGCTTTAATAAGAGCGGCGCTCAGGAGCTGCTCTAATTAAAGTGCCCACCTCCCCACCCCGGAGCACATGTAAAGATGCCCATTAAGACTAGCAGAAGAATCAAGTCTTCAGCCTCTGCAATAGCTTTTTGAGAGTGTAACTTATTTCATGCATTGGATTGACAGGTTAGGGGTTTCCGTATGTGAATAAGAAAATAGTTCAGAGCATCCTTGGTTCTTTCATAGAATATAATGCCAGTTTCAAGACTCATATCCTCAAGACATGCAGTTGGCTGGGCCCAGGGTGACTAAAAGATAGCTGCATGGACACAATAGAGGAGAAAAAACTCATCTGTTCAGGAAGCAGAGTTTCCTCAGCAGGAGGTCTGGAATGAGCTTTTGTAGGATGTAAGAAGCATTTAAAATGTCATGGTTTTCCATCACAACTGCAAGGCAACTTTGCTATCAATAACTGAAACATGAAACACAACAGCCATAAAGCAAATACTGTATTTACTCAAATCTAAGATGACCCTGAATTTAGGACAGCCCACCAATAATTAGATTGTATACATGGAAAAATATATAAATCTGTTATAATTTTCCATATATAGGATCTAATTATTGGAGGGTCATCTTTAATTAATCCCTCCCACTGTTGCAAGGGGGTAGGTAATGGGAAGGCAAGTTGTGCAGGGAAGTCAAGCGGCTGTCCCCGCCCCACTTGTACCTGACCCCTTGCCAACTCTGCTCCCTGCCTGTCCCTCCCTCAGCCTCCGCTCCCTGTTCCCCCCCAGCCTCTGCTCCCCCTTCCTGTCAGCCTCTGCTCCCACCTCCCCCAAGCCTGTAGTCCACACTGACAGGCTTCATCCCTGTTCTATCCTGGGGCATTGGTCATGGCCCAGCATGGCCCTGTAGCAGCTGTGCAGGAAGCATGCTGCTACTGCGGAGCTAGGGCTATGCTCAGTGCCTCAGGCTGAGTATACTGGCATGGAGCAAAGGTAAATGGTGGAAGGGAGAAGGGTAAGTAAAGGAGTAGAGGTTGCATGGGGGGAGAAGGGGAGAAGAGGTGGGGAGATGGTGGGTTGCAGAGGCAGAGGAGGGAGGCAGGCAACAGCTGCTAACCCCAGGTAGAGACTTTAGCCCCTACAGCCACAGCAGCTATCTGCTCCCTTCCCCACCATCCTTGTACTCAGTTCTAAGATGAAGGGCGTTTCTCCCCATGTTAACTGTGTGGGAGGGAACCATGTCTTAGAATTGATCAAATATGGTATTAAAAAAAGAACTGTCATAAAATAGTCATCTTAGGGCACTGGTGTATCTAGGATTTTGAAAAGGTGGGAGAGAGGTGAGTGCTCCCCTACTCACCTGCACATGCCCTGCACAGTACTGCACTGTGCTATGCTGAGTTTGATTGGGCTGCTCCAAATCTCAAGAATGCCAAAATGTCTGATGCTGATACCAGTGCAGCAATGCATGCAAAGTTGTTTTGAAACTTGGAGTGGAGTAGCAGTCAAAGGACGGTGTGACCACACCACTACGACCCCCCTGGATTTTCCCCTGCCTCAGGGGGTAAGAGAGAATTGTACAGAGCCATTTCTAATTATGGCACTTAATACACTTCAGGGAGGTAGGCAGATAGCTGGAGGAGAGAAGAACAGAACATGTGTGAAGTTAATTGGTAATAGGCTAGGCTGTTCCTTTAAGAAGGAGCAGTCAGCCCAATTGACAAAGCCCAGCTATGGGCATTTAGATAATGTGGGAGTATCCCACCAGAAGTTTAACATCTCAATGAGAGAGCAGAAAGGGGCAAAACTCTGAGAAGTAGTAGTTTGCAGATAGGAGGCAAGCTATGAGCCAAATAAACTTGCTACCAAGAAGAGGAAGCACTGCAGTCAGAGTTGGAGCCAGGGGACTGGGCCTGGAACAAGGTTTTGTTTGTTGATTGCTGTATTTGTGTGTCCTGCAAAAACTGTGCTTTTTGGAAGACTGGCTGAGGAGGTCCTTGGAGAGCAAAGCCAGGTTGCAGGAACCAGCCTGCTAAATTGCTCACTTATAACTGGATGCTAGTAAACCTTTTGTGGAAAGTAGAAGTGTTTTCATGGAGAAGTCAGGTTATGAGTAGTAGTTTGTGAGGAACTGTATACACTATGATACACTATGATTTTGAGAGAGCTAGCAGTGCTCAGGTGTGGTCAGTTCTTCATGGAAGTACTGTCAGTGTTTTTGGGTACTGTGAGGAAAGAAGAAAAAGTGTTTTTTAGGAAGTGTGTGAGGTGCCAATAGGAGTCTCAGCAAAAGCAAAGATTCAGGCTAGAAACTTAAACCCCCCAAATAGTTACACTACTTATTCTGAGCTGCTTGAGGGGCAGGGACTAACCCAGCTCCCACAAAAGTTGATGGGAGTCTTTCATTTGACTTTTGATGGGAGCTGGATCAGGTCATAGCTGAACAGCAGTTGTTCTCCTTGGCCTCTGAAAACAATCATTTCTTTCTGATTGGTTAAAAGATACCAAACATACACTCAATTCAGAGGCTTTAAATGGAATGAGATTTTATTGGACAAAATCTTTCTTAATAGAGAGGGGACTTGGGGGGGGTGCACCATAAAGGGTATGCCACGCAGGAGAAAAACAAACAAACTATGTGGGTCATCAGGAAACCACAATTCAGTGGTGCTGAATAACTTTTATTAGGCTGAGTGGCTATAACACTGAGTTGCAGGAGAGGTAATAAGTAGTCCCCTTGCTCCTCCCCCCACCCCCAGCCACTTTCCTTCATTTCTCAGATTTTGGGGGGCTGATATAAAAACAAAAATCAGCAAGAATACTCAATACAAAAGTACTGATTTCTTTAATCTATGCATATTTGTTTCATGGAGTAAAAATAATCAACTTGTAACATTTCTAATATTTGTGACCATCAACTTGACACTTTTCCTGAACAAAATGTGGCTTCTCAGTCAGTGATCTTTGTGTGGTTATTTATTCTAATAAGTAATCTTTGTCTAATGCTGTTGTACCCTCACTTTGCTGAAACTAGCAAGGATAATGGCTTGCAATTTCCCCCCCTCCAAACAGAGGGAAGACCACACACATAATTGAAATTTTCAGGGTGAGGAGGTGATTTTATTCCATTACTTTTAATGAAAATAAGGTGAAGTCTGAGCCAAAGCACTACAACACAGCCCTATAAAAGTAATAAACCCACACACATAGTTACACAAGTGTGGTGAATGTAATGCACTTCTTGCACTCCCTCCTCCAAAACTTGATCATATTGAGGAGAGGTGAGACAGCAAGCTCTATCTAATTTTAATGCTATATCTTCTTTCTGTCTCTTATCAGATCTCTCAGCTGATGACAGAGACTGGCCGAGAGGGCCTGACTGAAGCGAACCGCTACAATGCAGATAAGCCCTCTCTGTACAGCTTCCCTGCTTCCCAGAGCACCTATGTTGCCAGTGAAACATCAACAGGCACCTCAGTGGCAGCATCTTTTTTTGCCAGGTAAAAGGACATTTCAGCCCTTTTTCTTCTCCAGTAGTTTGGCAGATCAAGTCAGCTGGATTCCAGCTGAGGTGTTTAGAAAGGGCTGATGTAATGAAATACGAAAGGGATGATTTTGGCAGGCCTTTGCATTGGAATTCTGAGCTAAAGTGGGTGTTTGCATATGCCCAAACTATTGCAGTATGAACATCTATATGTAAAAGATGAGTTAGGGGTAATAGGCTGTTTCCTGCTTGTAGTTGTCGATAGAGTCCAAGTTACCAAAACAGCCTGCCTAAGGGCTTTTGTTGCATGTTACATTTATGAAGTCGTTTATTTAGATCATAACAAGCATTACTATGAGTTAGAAAGTTTTCCAAGCAGTTGCATGGTAATGCTTACTACAGTCTAAATAAAACATGTCCTAAATGCTGGAGCTCTTGAAGATTCTGGTGTGCTGTGGGAGCTGGGGGCTCTTGTTGGTCCCAGCCCCAGCACCTCAGTTCAAGGCTTTGGTGTGGGATGGGGGTGGGACCAACAAACAGCTGTTTACGTGGGAGTTAGTTCAAGGCTCCAGTGAAGTACTGGGGTTGTGACCAACAAACAGTCCCAGCCCCTTTACCGACTCAAAGTCTCCTGAACATAATACCCCCATGAAACAGTTGGACATTAGCTCCACGTGTATTAGGTAATACAATTTGGAGATACTCCTTGTGGGAAAAATCCTAAGTTTACTATGCTGCAGCAGCACATAGTATGTATTTCACTGTTTGAACATTTGGATGCTAGTGTTTTAAGTGCAGTTAGCACATCCTAAGGGTAACATGAAACAAGGCCTTAAATATGGGTGTCATCACAGGATGGAAAGCTCCCAACACCATGACACAGCATTTGTAGGAATAGAGCATATTGTTATATGTTGTCAATATGATCTTTATACAATCTGTGCCTGTAAGCAGCAACATACTGGTGCCCTGGAGCTGTATTGCTTCTAAATGACTGTATACTGGTGTCATCTGGTATGGGAAATCTTGCTGGTAAGAGGTTGTAGCTTTTACCATGTACTGCCACAAAAGAGAGGCAACAGTATACTTATTTTAATATTTTGCTAATGGAAATTGATGTTGGAGTAAGCATTTTTCAAATAATTTAGGCCCAAAGTTAGAGTAAATTAGCATAACTCCATTTTGTTGTCTTACCTCAGGTGAAGATCTGGCCCTAACTTAACTATTGTGTTATAAGCATTAGTAATATATCCTTAGTATGTTGCCAGTTTTTTAAGAAAATGTTTGCTATGTTCATTTGGGCCAGTTGACTCGAGTTACCAACTCTAACCGTCAATTTTTTTTTCAAAAGAGATGACACTTCCTGAGAAGCAGTAGGGTATTCTGGCCAGAGCATACCTCTGGAGGTCAGGAGACATGGGGTCTAGACCAACGTTAACGATGACATTTCCTTACTTTCTGAATGGGTAAAAGATACTCTTGCTTTTGTAAAGTGCTTTGGGATCACTGGTGAAAAAACATCAAAGGAATGTTTTTAAAGTAGCATTACAGTAGTACTGTTATCATGGTAAGTTTTTCCAGTAGGTCTCTGAATATGGAGAACATATACAAACAATTTACTGGGTAAATAATTAGTGTACAGGTAGATGGAGAAAGGCCATTTCATATTTCTGTTTCACAGCAACCTTTGAAATTTGTTATTGTAATAAAACCAAGCATCTTGTACACTTCCTGAGACAAAATTGTGTCAAAACGTGTATTTTTTTTTCAAATTGAAAAGGGAAGTTTCCAGTTTGGGTCTCTGCCTCTGTGGAATTAATCAATGAGTCTGCCTTAGATTTCCCATAAAATGTTTAGTCAAAATAAATACATTCCTGTCAGTGTTTCAGTTGAAAATGCCATTATATGACCAGGGTTTTGTTATTAAAAAAAAAATCTTTCAACCAATTGTAGAGAACTATTAACAAGAATCACTTATTAAATAGGTATTCAAACTCTTAAAACAGGCTCAGATCTGCCATTAAGAATGGAAAGATTTATTTTGGAAGCTGTAATGGAAGCTGACATAGAATAATTGATTTTTGGTCCAAATGAATTCCTTATGCAAGTACACCAAAGTCTTTGGCACTGTGTGATGGATAACGTGTCCCTTAGTGTAGTGGATCCTTTGTGAATAGATGAGCAGGTAGTGAAATACCATGATAACAACCTATTTTCACAATATTTCAAGTGTTGCTATAATCACTTCATGTGAGCCATTTGAATGTTAAAAGATTGGGTTACTCCTCAGAAGTTCATTGTGACCTTTCTACCCCTTAGCTCATAGAAATAGTAATAACTATTACTATTCTAATAATAGTAATAGTTATTACTATTTCTGTGAGCCTTTTTTTGCTTTTGAAAAGAAATAGAATAATATATAATGTTTCTGAACTTTGGAAACACTGTGTATGGGGGGAAAAATAATTCTTTCATCTTGCTTCTTTCCATAGTGAGGACTATATGTATCGAACAGATATCACACAATATAATTTATAACAAAGATTGTATGCTTAAAATCAAATGATTAAAAGCAACATTTAATAGAATCTATTGTGGATTGTGTTTACCTTATCTGAGGAAGCTCTGCTATTGTCTCATTATAAATGTGGTACTGCAGCATTGTAAGTACAGTATCAAGCGGTCCTGAATTGCTGGTGTTTTATACTTATTTGTAGGCTACTGCTATTAAAATTTGCTGAGTCTACTTAGATGAGTGTATCTGACTGGAGCACAGATTTGCATTGGCTCTTATTTTCATATGGTTTATTTAAGTGGATTAATGTAAATAATTTGCCCAATTTGCTAAGCATTCACTTTTCAGATTGAGAGGATTCATTTTCTCCAAATAAATTTCTCTGAAATGTAGGATATTAATGAAACCCAAAATCCCTCATACGAGTCACTGCATTTTAAGTGGAACCAATGGAAAATTCTATCAATATGTTAGTTTCCACTCATAGGATGAACTTTAGATAGACTCTGTTAGGATACCAAGAACCAAAAAAAAAAGATTCGATAACCTTTGAGTTGTTTCTTTTAAAATTGTACTTTGCTAAACAAAAATGACTAATCCACTTCCAAATTGTACCTAATTACCTAATGCCTTCATATATAAAGGAAGTTGGGTTGCATCTTCTGGGGTGCTAAGTCAGCAAATCCAAACAAAGCCCTCATAACTTGACTTTTATCAAAGGGAATCCATAGCTCATTTTCATCCTTCAGGGGCCTGCGTTCTCATAGCCTTGTCGTTATGGATAAATAAATGATGATAATTTATCTCTTTCTCCCACTTCGCTCATATTGTTGGAATATGAGTTTCAAAAAAATAAATAATTGCTGGTTTGCTTGATGGCAGGAAGTAGTGGTATTGTACATAAACACCAAGGCTTCCCTTTCCTTGTGAAAGCTTATGGTAGAAGAGGAGCTGTCCTCCATATTAAGCATATATATCATATGTCAGTGTACAAATGACAAAAAAATTAAACACTACCTGGGCAATTTACTAATTTTTATCTATGGGTTAAACAAGATTTGTTAGAGGCTCCATTTTTTTGTTTTTTAAAATAATTTGGATATCCACCATATTTGAGTAACAGTATTTCCCACTAAGTTTCTTCATAGGCAATATATAACTCAAATAATTCTGGCATATAGAAACTCATCCATCTGGAGGAAAAAACAAATGGCTAATGTGGTAAAGAATTAAAAAAAAGTAGGGCGTTCCTATAAACATCTGGCTTTAAAGTTTCTTGACGTTTGGGTAAAAACAAATTGTAGAAGAATTGAAACAGACTGAAAACAGCTGAACTCTTACTTTTTTGGTTCTTCCTAAAGCAGCATTATTAAAACAGTAATATTCATTACCTTTAGCCTATGGCCAACAGCTAGCTTTGGGGACTCTTCTGAAGGTCACAATAATGCTGAACCTTTTGACAAGCCTGGAGATCTATCAGCCATCTCAGTATTTGGCTGTCATGTTTCATGTACCTATGACTGACAGGTCTCTAAGCCTGTTAAAAAGCTAATGTCTATCATGAATAATCAATTGCCAAGATATTGCTGGAAGAGTCATTTCTATGTTTGTGATGGTCCAAAATTCCCATGAGTGAAAGGAGCTAAAATTAACATTGTTGAAAGCACTGTACTGGCAGAATAATGAAATACCAAGTAATGCAGATATAAATAATGAATTCCAAACATTAAGCTTGGCATGGGTGCTGAGTTCATTTATCCTCATTTTTCAGCCATATCTGTTGGCTATCTCTAATTGCAAGGATTTTCACTCTTTTATCTTTTAGTTACTTCTGTCCCTTGCTCATGTTACTTTATTTGGGATGTGTATTACTAAGGCTAAGTACAGACAGTCAGAAAGCCCAAGGAATTGATTCAGTCTCTGCAGATTAGTTTAAAATGCAGAAATTAAATTGAAACAGAAGTGAGCAGACATTTAAGAAATGCAGACATATGCCTGCAGTGGCTCAGACCAGAAGCCGGGGGGTGCTAGAGCATGACTCTCTAGCATATCCAGTGTGGGCTGTGTGTTTGCTTCCTCTTCCTGCTGCCCCCAAGGTCTCTCTGGGATTTGTAGTGTAAAATCACACCAGTAGGACTCTACAGGGTTGCTCATCACTTCCTCTTCCTACTTCCAGGGGTCTCTGGGATTTGTAGTCAACAGCCACAGGCAGCAGTAAGTTAGCAGGGGAAAGGGTGTTTAACCCCGCTTCCTGGCCCCAGATCCCAGCTGGGTTTTGCATCCCCAGCCGGGCTTGCCCCCACGCCCCCTCATCAGGCAGCCCTCACTGGTCCAGCTAGGGAGCAGAGGGGTGGGGCCAGCCCTGCTCTCTGGAGTAGATAGCCCAGCCCAGCCCAGGGCTGCAAAACATGCAGGGATAGTATGGGACTCTGATTTTAATTTGAACCAGGAAAGGGTTTGGGACAGAAGTTTTGTAAAGCGGTTTGACCCAAATCAATTAA